TAAGGGATTTCCTATCAGGCCCTGGGAGTTTCTGCTTTAGGTTGACCATTTCAGTTTTGCTGCAGAACACAATCTGGCGCAAACTGGCTCGAGAAATTTCGCTCAGGGTTTGAGCTTATACCTTAACTCTGCGAAGGGTCAACTAGTGGGTTTGCCTGCACCAAAAAAAATTAAAGAAGGGAAAAATAAAAGTTTTTTTGGTCTGTTGTGAAAGTACACATGCTCATATAAATAAAATCCATTAAATTTTGCCAATATCTAATACCTACACCTCCTTCATGTGAAAGAGGACAAGAGAGAGAAATGAAGATGGGCCAGATGTAACTGTATACATTTGAAGATAGTATAATGTAAAAATGTAAGATTACCAAGGACTGCCCCCTCCCAAAATGACAATTTTAATGATTTCCATTGGGGAAGGGGTTTGTTTTTCTGTGGGATGTAACCCCTAGCTCCACCCAACCCCCCCTCACTCCACCCACAATTCAAACCTTACTCCCCGCCCACATTGAATCTGGAGGTTGCTTTCGAAATACTGTTGGGGTGTTTTTGCCAATAGAACTTGAGCTTCATCCAAAATTTACATAAATTCATTGACGCTTTAATGATAGGGCTGTTTGTCTTGCAAATGGAAGCCTCACCAGGTGCGAGTTCCTGATTTATTTAGCAAAATACTAGCAACTGTCCGCAATATTTATGACATTAGCGTGAAACTGGTATTCTAATTTCACCAAAAAGCTGAAAACAAGACATAGAATATCGAGCAATATTTGAAAACAAATATCACGTCAACTTGCAATGCTAAAGCAACAGACACGAAAGAGACTTCTCATGCAAGTATTTTACAGATGATAATGATGCGTCATCCTTAATTTGAAGTCTTGCTGCATTACTGCATCACTTATTTATTTATTTTTCATTTTTCACCTTCAGTTACCACCCTACAGGATAATTGCCAGCCAGTTCTTTTGGTGTAATGATTCATTTAAGCTAACTGCATTGCATTCTTTAATTACTTACGTATTAGACCATAAATAACTGGAGGACAACCCTTCATTAACCCTGGGTTTTCCATAATTGTAACATTCCAGTTTCTTGGTTTACTCAGTAACTAGGAAAAGTTACACTCTCTAATTATGTTCCGCTATTGTCCTGGTTCCCTTCCCACCATCATCAATTTGATGTCTGTCGAGGGTTCAAGAGGGGTCAAGAAGAGATTTTCTAGTGGCTGCAGGACAGCCATATGTCTGGGATGCTTGACTGACAATGGGTGAATATTCACAAATTTGTGAAATTTGCTTCATGGTTTAGACACGTGCAAAATTTTGACCCACTGATGTGGGCACCTTGTGCCTGTTTGGAGTCAAATGAATCGATAAATAAATAAACTGCATACCAACTGCAGCCCGCGGAGGTACACAGTGGATTGATCCGCCTTTAAATTTTCAAATTAAGGAATGTTTCCCTTTCTGCAAATGTGTTTTGCTGAAAACTGGGGGAAATGGACCATGGCGAGAGTAGGGGATGAGAGATCGAGTGAGACCGGAGGGGTAAGCACGGAGCAAAAGTCGTGATCACCACGGTAACTAAGAATGTAGAGCCGCAGCAGCAAGCATGGGCAGGCACAGGAAATGTTCAATATGTCTTAAACCGTTAAAACAATGCTTAAGCTTCCTTGCGAAAGACCCTTTTTTTTAGCGCTGCTCCGATGCTGTTGTTTTTGGCCGGGGTCTCTGATCCGGGGCCAGATTGCACCTCTTCTCCTACCTAGGGGTGGTGCGGGTAGTGGGATGGAGGAAGTGAACACGAGAGACGCGATGAGCAGCCTTCGCCACCTGGGGCGAGAACTACCCGCTCCTTCTGCAGCCCCGGGAGTACTGGAGGACGAGCGTGTTTTCTCAAAAAATATCCCCACCCACCTCAGGCTCATAGTGTGTATTAGCGGTCGCAGTCAACACCCTGGACAGGAGAAAGGGGAGGGAGAGAGCGCGCGAGAAAAGGCATCTCCAGTCTTGAGTCAAATTGTTCAATAAATCACCCATTTCGCAGGACCAAACAAGCACCGCGCGAGGAACCAGGAGGACGATGTAGCGCATGCAGAGAGAAGGGTCAGAGACTGGCTGGCTCAGCGCATTAATCTCGGCACTTCATTCGCGTTCCACAGTCACACGCTGGTGGATTGGGTTCGTTTGGCTTTAGGCTAAATTACAGCAACAGTAGCACCGTGCTGTTGTTTTCCATGAGCGAAGTTGTGTATCATTTGTTTTTTAATCTCGTCAAGAATGAAACGAAGCCTACAATCTAGTGGAGCTCAATGTAATCATTTGAAGGCCTTTGAAGATATTTGAATGACGTCTTGCGCTTTGCAGCAATGCGCAGATAGCCTGACAGGATAACAGGTGAAGAATTAGACCAGATTTAATCTCTTATCAACTGTGCCAGAACAGGGTTTTCAGCAATTATTTGTTTACATTTTTCATTGAAAAGTGGCTGCCTATGTCTGCAAATTCTGGATCAAGATATAATAAATGAGACTGTCTCTCCAAGTTATAAATCAAAAACATTTGTGTGGAATTGTACCAGCAAATGTGTTTAAGATCTTTTCAATCGTGACTGATGAGAGAGAGAGAGAGAGAGAGAGAGAGAGATTCACTGGCGACTGTCCTGACCACCAGTGCCCTCCCGTGGTCAAAGAGAAAAGTTAAGTCTTAATCGAAGTAAGACAATGTTCCACGCTTTTGGTTAGGGCAAGCATTTAGGTACTGTTACTAATAACCCCTTAAACTGTAACTTTTCACTTAAGTTTTCCCTTAAGTAGGTTTAAGGTCTGGAAATGTATTTTTTTTACATTGTGGAACAATGTCACATACATACTTTGTATCTGCTGGTTGCAGCGCTTCACTGAAGCTACATCACACTTACATTGAGAGAAATATTCAAACCCAGAATGTCATGTTTTTATGGCCACAGCAGTGCATCAAATGGAAAATATCTAAATCTTGTACATCATTTTATACACATTATTCTGTAATTTAGCCAGGGATATTTGGGATCATTGGACACCTTGGGGATCTCTATGAGAATTAAACATAGGCCTGAAGTTCCACAGTTTTGAATACAGCGGCTACATATGACAGACCCATATATGGGTCCACTAGTTTTATGGGGTTAAATGGCAGAAGAAGATCTTTAAATGCAGGAATTTAGAGGTCAGGAAGAAGTAACTTAGGAACAACAGTATTACTGCTCGCGAGAGCAGGGCTAAGATTCAAGACAATGCTATCCTTGGAGAAGCTGTCTGTGGCTTAGTGAAATATGTTTAGCACTAAAAAGTGTGTACCCCCAGTCCCATAAATAAAAAGTTAACTATAATATCAGCATGTATGAGATGCAGCAATTTGCGAAAAATGTTTAAATAGTTCCTTGAGGTGGTAAATTGTTTGCGTTGCTTCTTTATGTTTATAAAACAAGCAACAGACTCAGACTAAATAACTAGCATTACACTGAGCTAGTTGATGCTATGATGCAAAGAAAATTGACCAGACTTAGCAAGGCCACTCCCAGGCAATGTGGGGTTAAGGGCCTTGCAACGCACTTTGACCCATCAATTATCAGGGTCCAGTCAAACACCTTAGACCAGGGATGGGGAACTCTTCTCCTGGAGAGCCATAGCCCTGTTTGTTTTTGATGTAACACAACCGATTCAAACAATTGCTGTGTTATAGAACCCTTGACTGGCTACAGTCTATTGAATCAGATACGTTGCACAAGAGATACATCTGAAACATGCTGGGCTATGGTTTTCAAGGGACAGAGTTCCCTATCTGAGGGCTAGAATAAAGACTCCAGAAACACCACAATGGTGCTGGAAAGCAATACCAGGAGTGGGGTTCGAACCCACGCAGACATATGTCCATTGGATCTTAAGTCCAACGCCTTAACCACTCGGCCATCCTGGTGCAGATGCAGTCAACCTCAGATGGCTTACTTTTCATGTTGCGTTGTGGGTAAACTATGGTGCATGATGGGAAATGACTGTTTGCCAAATTGTCCGCCTGACTTAGATTTCTGTGCACATGATGTGCATGTGATGATCACACACGCCTCTAAAATCTCTTGAGATCATGTCGGATACGCAGTCGAGCACAGCTCCACAGAGGCACAGTAGCAGACCATCAGGGCTCTCCCTCATTGGTTAAGCTCAGACCCGTGAAAATCTCATTTAGTAAAATAGCATCTCATCCTTCCAAAGGCGGTTGACATCGTTAAGTTGTTCAGCAAAGGCTATTCCAACAACCGTTGGACAGATTGTAAGTGTCAGTTTTGTTATTCACCCCACCATTCTCAGCCAATGAAATGTGTGGTCTATTTCATGAGCGACATCTTTTGCTGAAACTTTTGGTACCTCAATAAGACAGTTGGGGAAATAAGAGCAACCTTCACCCCTGTTCCACCAACCGTTGGGGGAATAAGAGTGATCTTCCCCCCTGTTTCTCCATTGGCTGGGGGAATAAGCACAACTTTCCTTCCTGTTCCACCAACGGATGGGGGAATAAGAGAAACTTTCCTTCAAGTACCACTAACATTTGGGGGTATAGCCACTTTGAATTTTTAAATGCGTTTCACGCACCTTACAGGATTTGTCTTTTTAGCTGATTGCGCTGTGTGAACTACTGTAAAACAAAGGCAGGGAATGCTGTGTGATTTGCCAGGGTGAATTTCACAGGACTTCTGAACCAGGATGCATGGTGGAACTTGTCTGTCTCAGAGACTAACGGTTATTCTGCCCAAGATGCCCGTATCCAGTCTCCTGCACGCATCTGTACAGCCAACACAGCTAAGTACAGCAGACTGATGGTTGATAATGGAGGGATCATGCGAGAGTGTTAGAGAAGAGCAACATCTAAGATACACAGCTTTATGGCTCTACAGGAGCAGGCTTACCTACTCCTGCAAAGATCTCAGAAGATTTGAGAAAACAGCACAGTGCTAGAGAGTAATACCAGGAGTGGGGTTCGAACCCACGCGACACATATCCATTGGATCTTAAGTCCAACGCCTTAACCACTCGGCCATCCTGATACAGACAGGAATGGACTTGCATTTCAGGCACCAGCCATTTATCACCTGAGAGCAAATTCATTCCGCATCCTCATTTTGCTTTGCAGTCTTACTCAACAAAGTGCTGCAGGTTAGACCTCTTTCAAGCAGTCACATGATGCCAAATCACAATAGGTGCTTTGGGCTGATGCAGTCAACCTCAGATGGCTTACTTTTCATGTTGCGCTGTGGGTAAATTATAGCGCATGATGGGAATTGACTGTTTGCCAAATTGTCGACTGACTCAGATTTCTGTGTACATGCTGTGCATGTGATGATCACATGAGCCTCTGAACTCTCTCGAGATCAAGTCAGATTCGCAGTCAAGCGTAGCTCCACAGAGGCAACTGCGACAGTGTGGCCGACCATGCGGGCTCTCCCTCATTGGTTAAGCTCAGACCCCTGAAAACCTCATTTAGTAAAATAGCATCTTGTTACCCCTTTTCCGCCAAAAAGAACCTGGTGCTAGTGCTGTGCTGGTGCTAGTGCCAGTGCTTAGTTGGTTCAACCCACGCACCTCCTAAGAACCTGTTTGGTTTTCCATCGCCGAGGAGCCAAATTAGAGCCACGCGATTACGTCACTGTAATTTACGACCAGCAGATCAGGAGAGAATGACCGTTGTTCGAGATCTGCGTCTCTCTCAGCAGCACTCACGTAGCCTAACATCTGGCAGTACAGAAATACAGTATGGACGGCGGGAAACCATGAATAAAAATGTAAAACTGAAATAATGCTTGTGTTTCTATGCTCAGTAATACTATTATTGTCATTGAGGTTTTATCGTTTTCAGAAGGAAAAGGAATATAGCCGATTAGATTGCAATGATCTTGTACTGGATTAAGATCAGATATTTAAAAAGTAGCAATATAAGGCGCATACCATATCTTGCATTGTTGTCCGTGCATGTTAAAAATACCGAAACCTTGTGCAGAAATAGCGTGTAATGATAGGAACACGCTATCCATCTTTACTTTTCCCAAGGAAGCAGACTGGTAATAAATAAACGAGCAACTGTCGTATTTCATTCCAGCTTCGTAACTTTGAACGATCTAATGTAGTTTCGTTTTGAAATGACATTCAAGCTCGCTAATGGCAATAACAGTAATTCTTATTAAAGCGAACGCCCTATCAGATATAAGACATATGCCAGCTAACTCATATTCGTAATGTTGGTAAACCCCGCCCCATCGTATTACCAAGACGTTGCTTACTAACCAGTTTTAAGGCCAGAAAGTGGTGCTTAGGTTGTGGAAAATGAAATATAAACGCTGGCTCGATGCACCAGATATAAGACATAAGTGTCTTTCAAAGATGGTCGTTTTTAAGTTGTTCGAGCAGAACTCCAATTTTTAAGGCAAATGCTATTCCCCCAACCGTTGGGCGAATCGTGAGTGTCAGTTTCATTATTCACCCAACCATTCCCAGCCAATGAAATGTGTGGGATATTTCTCGAGTGACGTCTTTCGATGGGGAATAAGGCGGTTGGGGAATAAGAGCAACCTTTTCCCCTGCTACACCAACGGTTGGGGGGATAGCCACTTTGTATTTCTAAATAAATGTTTCATGCACCTTAAAGAATTTCTCTTTTTAGCTGTTTGCACTGTGTGAACTACACTACAACAAAGGCAGTAAATGTTTTGTAATTTGCCATGGTGAATTTCGTGAGACTACTCTGATGTACAATGGAAGACTGCAGTATCTGCAATTGGTGAACATATACAGATACTGCAGTCTTCCATTGTAGGCTGTAACTGAACTGGGATGCAAGGTAGACCCATGTCCAGTCTCCTACACGCATCTGCATAGCGAACACACCCAATGAGACTGATGCTTGATAATGGGGCTATCATTTGAGAGTGTTAAAGAAGAGCAACATCTAAAATGTACAGGTGCATGGTCTTACAGGAGCAGACTTCCATAACCCTGCACTTGAGAAAAGACCTCAGAGAACTTGAAGAAACACCAGTGGGAGAGAGTAAAACCAGGAGTGGGTTCGAACCCACGCAGACATATGTCCATTGGATCTTAAGTCCAACACCTTAACCACTCGGCCATCCTGGTACAGGCTTGAGGGAATTCCCCCAGCAAAGTGCTGCAGGTCAGACCTCTTTCAACCAGTCCCATGATACAAAATCAAAATAGGCGCTTTGGGCTGATGCAGTCGACCGCAGATGGTTTACTTTTCTTGTTGGGTTGTGGGGAAATTATGGTGCATGATGGGAATTGACTGTCTGCCAAACTGTCAGACTGACTCAGATTTTTGCGCACACGACGTTCATGTGACGATCACTCCAACCTCTGAATTCACAGTTGAGCGCAGCTCCACAACTGCGCAACTGCAACAGTGTGGCTGACCATGTGGACTCTCCCTCATTGGTTAAGCTCAGACCCCTGAAAACCTCATTTAGTAAAATAGCATCTTAGTCTTCCAATGATGGTCAATGTTGTTTAATTGTTTAGAGTTATAAACTCTAATTTTTAAGGCAAACGCTATTCCCCCAACCGTTGGGCGAATTGTAAGTGTCAGTTTCGTTATTCACCCATCCACTCTCAGCCAATGAAATGCGTGAAACATTTTGCGAGAGACATCTTTCGGTGAAACTTTTTGGCGCCTCACTAAGACGGTCGGGGGAATAAGAGCAACATTCCGCCCTGTTCCACCAACAGTTGGGGGAATAGCCACTTTGAATTTTGGATGGAATGGATTGCATTTATACAGCACTTTTCTAGTCAGATGACACAAAGCGCTTTACAATTATGCCTCTCATTCACCCTGATGGAGGAGGCAGCTGTGCAAGGCGCCAACCTGCACATCAGGGGCAGTGTGGGGTTCATTGTCTTGCTCAAGGACACTTCGACCCGTTCTCTGGAGGAGCTGGGGATCGAACCGCCTAGCCGGTCTACCTCCTGAGCCATGCCGCCCCCCATACATTTTAAATGTATGTTTCATGCACCTTACGGAATTTTTCTTTTTCGCTGGTTGCTCTGTTTGAACTACAGTACAACAAAGGCAGGAAATGCTGTGAGATTTGCCATGGTGAATTTCAAGAGACTACTGAACCAGAATGCGAGGTAGACATGGTCTGTCTCAGAGACTGACGGTTAGAGTCCACCCAAGATGCCCACGTCATGTCTCCTACACGCATCTGTACAGCGAACAAACCAAACTGATGCTTGATAACGTGGTGATCATGTGAGAGTATTAGAGAATAGCAACACCTAAAATGTGCAGGCTTCTCTACCCCTGCACTGGCACAAAGATCCCAGAAGATTTGAGGAAACACCACAGAGCTAGAGAGAAATACCAGGAGTGGGGTTCGAACCCACGCAGACATATGTCCATTGGATCTTAAGTCCAACGCCTTAACCACTCGGCCATCCTGGTGTGGATGCTTGCAAAATCAGATACTTCAAAGTTAAAGTTAATTGCCTGCTGTTCATATCAAGGGATGATCAACCGCTGCCGGCTAGAATATTAATCCAGTAGAACCTGATTTAGAATGATATGTATGAAATTGCCCTCTCGGTTCAGCAGAAATTATTTTTAAAAGCCGGCTGACTGTGCCAAAGGTGGGAGAGTGATGCATATGAAGGCCTCAACTCTGAGGAGCGGGGGAACGTGTGAAACAGCTGATGTGTTTTAACACGCTTTTGGCCACGCGTCAGGAATGACATCATCTTCGCACAGCCGACTACGCCCAAGCTGCGGCGAGACTGGGACAGACTGAGGTGGTATGAAAGAAAAGAGGATAGCACTCCAAGTTTTAAAATTTATTGCCAGACTGAGGTGGTAAAATCTTACGAAGTGCGCTGTGCAAACCCGACGCCTTTGATCTGCGGCGGTATAGTCTGTGGAACGGCCCATAGTCTAATGGCTGAGCTGTTCACTTCAGACTCAGAAGGAAGGTGAATCAAGTCCAAGTGTCACATGTGAACCTGATTGGCCCTTAATTCTGCATTCCTTATTCTGATTGGCCCTTAACTCTGCATTCCTTTTTCTGATTGGCCCTTAACCCTGCATTACTATTTCTGATTGGCTCTTAACCCTGCATTACTTTCAGGACGATTGGCCCCTGCTTATACTAATCAACTGTAAACCGTTCTGTATAAAACCATCGGCTAAATAACAGTCACGCAAAGTGTGGAAATTCAGGTCCGGTCCAGCTACTCACTTTATGTTTCACCCGTAACTCTTATGGACAACACGTAATAATTAGGCAGCATACACGTAATAATTAGACAGACCCTGAATTATTGTGAACAGTGAAAGCTCTGGGCTGGTTTCACCGAAGCACATAAAGCCTGGTCTTACGATAAAATAAACTTTGAATTAATACATTCAATAAAAGACTCATTTTGTCCAGGACAAAGCCTAATCTGTGTTGCTGAAACCACCAAAATATTACATTTAGTTAGATGGCTAACTGTGACTGTGGACCTAGCCTAATATTACAGTTGGTTAGCTGGCTAACAGTGTCTGTGATACCAGTTTAATATTACATTTACTTGGCTAATTGTGTTGGTGAAACCAGTCTAATATTAGTCAGTTAGCTGGGTAACAGTGTCTATGATGCGAACCTCATACTATAGTTAGTTAGCTGGGTAACTGTGTCTTCGATACCAGCCTAATACTACAGTTAGTTAGCTGGGTAATAGTGTTTATGATACCAGCCTAATACTACAGTTAGTTCGCTGGGTAATAGTGTTTATGATACCAGCCTAATATTACAGTTAGTTCGCTGGATAACAGTGTCTTTGATACCAGCCTAATACAATGGTTAGTTATAGCTGAATTACTGTGTTGGTGAAAGCAGCCCTCAGAATGAAAAAAAAGCAGCACTTAGATTCTTTTAAACTCTGCACTGTGGTTTGCAGGACAGTGTGGTTTGATTTCACAAGGGTTTTATTTTTGTTGTGGTTCATGAAAGCATATAGCCTCCACTGTCTTCACCACAGACGGCCATTTTCTTTTCTTTTTTTT